AAAGGCTGCCGGCAGCTTCGCAACGCAGCGGTTACCTGTGTTTCACTAGTTACCTGTGTTTCACTAGTTTTTGCTGGATTATTACTCTGCTATTTGGAGTTATGTTGGGAGATTATGTTTTTTGCTTCTTCAAGAACGTATAATTATGGGTAACATGAGCCATAAAATGTTTGTTTCCTGCTGCCACCATTTTATTTTAAAAAGGTTGCTTGAGAAACAAGGGAAATACTGGTCTTTCTAGTCAATCTATGCAAGACACTGAAGAATTAGATTTAAAAAAAAAATATAGCTGCCCCAATAAAAATGGTCTTTACATCTTAAAATATTCAATGTGCTAATGGTATAACAAAAGAAAGCAGTGGATATATAATTCAACTGAATTATCAGAATAATTTCTCCAGATTCAGCAGTAGTAGAGTTCTCATAGGTGTCATCTATTAAATTATTAGTCTAGGCCCGTGGAAGACATACCCCCATTTTTATCAGCTCTGGTCACATATTGTGCTTTTGGATGAAATTATATCTAGATAAAAAATATATACAAATATTTTAGATGAATGGGATTTATAGTCCCCCAAATCCACAAATTATTTTGATTTTTCTTTAAATCCTTGAATAAAAGAGACAGTCTTTTAAGTTAAAGGAGTTAATAAAGTAATCAAAGAACTTTTCCTGGTACAAAGATGAGTCTTGCTTATATGAAAAAACAGGTTCACTTCCATTTTTAAAATATCACAACTCTTTTTTGTCTTTAACAAAGAGCCAATAATAAAATGGGCAACAAATAAATGCCCAACACAGCCATTTTTCTCTCCACCTTGAATGATTATTATCTGGACGTGGTCAGTATAAGTATGGAAAATTTATAATAAAATGTGATATCTGTTCTAATCCAGCATAATGCAATCACAATTTAGAAGGCTTATAAAAGATAAAGACGCAGGCTCACTAACTTTGAGGAATGTGCAATAATGTATGTAAATGACTAATCATATGTAGTTATTTTGTTAGCATCTCCCATGACATCAAGACTACAATTGCATTTTGGGGTTTGTGAATTGCACTTTTGTTGAACTCTAAAATTTTCCAAGATCTTCTCACTAGTTCCTCTATTTCCACTACAGTCTTTAAAAGGAATATAAAGAAAATGAAAGAAGTAAAATCTAATGAGAAATGACCATAGTGCCAGTGGAATATTTAAGGGAGAAGACTTGGAGAGAATGATAAATTAAAATTACTGTGTTTTCAGAAATAGCATAAAAGAATTTATACATTCTGTGTTAAAGGAAAGTGAAGATTTGTAAGGTAGTAATAACCAGAAAGTATACACTACTATCTTCTTGATTTAAGAGGTGATAAGAGGGGTCCAAAAAACTGAAGAGATTTACCAATAAATCAAATTTATTTTCAAAAACTGTTAAAGTATTTTTAAAGATAGGATGCTTACTTAGATTGCAAAGTACACATTGAAGTTATTTTTCCATAAATATATATATATATATATATATATATATATATATATATATATATATATCAGTGTTAGTGAAAGAAATATGCTTAGGAATTACAAAATAATCCCGAGGTTTTCTCATTCTTTTTATTTAGAGACCTTGTTGGCCAAGGACAAAGAATATTCTAATTGAACAATCATGACTGGTACTGTGCCTGTATGTACTATATACTCTCAGAAATGGCCACATTTTTATTTGAGGGGAACGAAAGTCAAAATAAATAGCCCCCTATATATCAAATAATGTGGTATTACATCAAACTCATGTAATCCTAGATATCCGAGTATTGGAGGGAGAACTGGAAGTGACATAGCATTCATTAAGACAGGACATCTCCCTTGCTCCCTACACTGCTAGATCTTGTTTTTGGTTTTGTGTACCTTGCTATTTAATTGCCACAGGAGTGACTGAATCAAAAGATTAATCTTCTTATGTTTAAAACAGTACCTAATTTTAAAAAAATGTGCCATTTGTTAAAATATATAAAACTAAAGTGTATTAGAGTATTAAAATCTATGGGCATTCATATTTAAATTAACATATTCATTTTTAATTCTTATTCTTAAGCATATATTAATTATAGGCAATATGATAGTCTACAGGGGATATAACAAGAATGACTTTGGTAGTTTTATTTCAGGTTGATAATGGTTTTTTCAGTCACACAGACTACATTAGCGTCAATGAAATACTATAATATTAAAGCAGTAGATGGGGGAGTACCGTGTATGGAAATAATGCTATAAAAGTTCATGTGGGGGTCCCCTCATGGCGCTACTACCAAGATGGCCCACCATGGCAGCCTGACTTCAATCCCTGGCCAGAGAACAAAGCAAAACTTCATGGCGCAGCAGACCTCTCCTGTTTTGCCTGCTGCTCCCCTCAGCAGTATTTCAGTAGATCTGCCTGTTCTGTTCCCCTCTCTGTCTGCAGTGAATCCTTTCAACCCCCCTCCACACCTCTGGCCTACACCCCAATTCTCTATGCAAAAATGAATAAATAAAATCCTTAAAAAAAGTCCAGGTAACTAAGATATTCTCATCTTCATTTTTGGAAAGTATGGAATGACAGGGTTGGGGGTGAGCAAATAAAGGGCTAAGTCATAGGCTAATTATTCAATTGCATAGTACAATTCTAATCCTAGATGCACAGGGGTTACCTAAAGGGGCAGTGGCAAGTTCACATTTATTTTTGTTGCTCTTCATGCTGATACCTAGAGCTTATTCAAGTACAGAGTGTAACCAAATGTACTGCACCTCAGTGCATACATCCATGCACGCATACATAAGGAAAGAGAGCAATTCCTATAACTGCAAAATGTAAAGAATAAGATATTACTCTTGGAGGGAAACAGAGGCATTATTACATTTACTGACTTCAATATAATAACCTTGAGTCCTGACATTTATCAATGACAATTATAAATTATCTATTTATAAAAGATACTCCAACAAAAGGGAAAATAGTAGCAAACAAGTATATGGTGATTCTGGGAAGATATAAATGAAGAATGTACTTTCATGGAAGGTACAAAGGCTCTATCTGTGTGTGTAGATGTAGAGCACTGACAGTCAAATTTTCATTATTACTTTCTAGTAATATACTAATATGAAATCTATGTTGTCTATTATTTCCTGAAGATCTCCTCAGATTTTTTAAAAAGATTTATTTATTTATTCACACAAGAACTGGGGTACAGGCCAAAGGTGCGGGAGTGAGACGGTTTACCACAGAGAGTGGGGAGCGGAACAGGCAGATCTACTGAAATACACTGCTGAGGATAGCAGCAGGCAAGGCTGGAGAGATTTGCTGTGCCATGTGAGTTACTTCCCTGGCCAGCAGGGAATCGAACTTGTACTGCAGTGGCTGGTGATAGCTTGACAGTGCTGCCTTTAATGCCTGCACCACCAGGGAGGCCCCAAGATCTCCTCAGATTTGAATCATTTGTATATAAATAACATCTGTCATGACAATACTCAAGAGTTATTAATCACTGTAAAGATATTATAGAAGTTTCTGTATAATGGAATGAAATCCTGCATAACAGTAAAAAACCAGCATTTCCAATATTGAGAAAGTCACTTATTTAACAAGTAGACATGGAGTAAACAATAGTTGTTTTACATGTGACTTGTGGACTTTTTTATTTCACAGAATTATAATCAATGTATGATATGAAACTGAATAAAATTAATAAAATACAATAAATGATATTTTAAAATGTGGATAGGAATAATTATTAGTGTTTGGGAATATGGCAGATACTATGTAGGATACATATGCTACAGTATTATGACACATGGTACATTATTTATAATTTCATCATTATTTTCAGTCTCAAATAATCAAGGAATTATATTAATCAATTTATATTGATTTTAACATCAGATCTAAATTTATTGCTATAAATTCTCTGTAAGATAATATTATCATTTACATTTACGAACATGAAAATGATGCCCAAAGATTTATGCAGGTTGCTCAATTTTAACTCAAATCTATATCAATGTTAGACTTATTGTCTGTGTATGGCTTCATGTTTCTTCTGTGTAAAGCACTGTGCTATACCCAATCGAATGGAAATTCTTTAGTCATCTCTTTTGACATTGAATTCTGTTGCTTTGCTCCTATTGCTCAGAAACGTTTGTAGTCTTCACTTGTGACCTTGACTCTTCTAAATATAAGTATCCTACACAATTCTATCTTATGATGCTTCTTTATTTCCCCCTCCCTTTTCCATCCTAGTGTCTCCAGTGACTTTATTAGTTTTCTGTTGCTAATTCCCCAAAATAGTTTTCCTGTTCTGCTTTGAAGACCTCCCGCATAAAGATTTTCAATCATCTCTGGGTTATCTCCATCTGATTGACTTAGCTTGATTTGTATCCACAGCTGCAACATGTACCTGTGACTGAGAGCATCAAACAGCTTGTGCTCAAGTGTCACCTTCTCAAAAGTTCTACTCTGATGACAATGTTATACTGCAATCAACCCTCCCCCAGTCCTGATCCTTCTTCCTGCTCCACTTGCACTCTTTTTTCCATTTCACAAACACCACATGACTTTATAATTTACTTCTTAAATGTTACATTTTTACTGCCCTAGCTCAGTCCTTGTATCCCACTACAAAGTAAACCTTAGGAGGACAGAGATTTGTAAATCTGATCACTCCTACATTCCCAATGTCATGCATTGTGCCTAGCATATACAAGACACAGAATAAATGTATTCGTGAAATGAGAGCATCAATGGTTTCTGCGAGTCTACTCCTGTAAATGAAGTTTTCAGAATCGAGTTATTGAGAAGAAAACTCATATTCAGAGCTATAAATGGGAAATGAGGTATACAGTCTCATACCAACTACCATTTTGACCTGTCCTATGGATGTCTGACCCTGAAACAAAGCCCAGATGGCTAAATTACTTTCAGACCTTTAGAGTATTTGTGTGGGGGGAAGGGGGAGGGGAGCTAACTTAAACTTTTCTCTTAAAGGTTTGCTTTTGAAAACACAATGGAGCCTGAAACTCATCAGTGTCCAGGAAACCCAGTCAGAGGGTAATTGGCAGAGGCGGGTGAGATACTGGTCATCACCTGCTAGTGCAGAGCACAGGAGGCAGGACTACTCACCAGAAGATTCAATATGAAAAAGGTGTGGTATATTTACACAATTGAATATCGTATAATCACCAGACAAATCAATACTCCAATTATCTGAAGAAATAAACACTTCATGCATATATGACTAAAATATCATATCTATAAAATATCATATCTATAAAACTTGGCATTTAAAGTTCCTGGTTCTCAGCTCATATTGCATTACCCACGTTGCTCCCTTCCAGGTACACCATAACTCCTACGGCCACAGACAAGCCATGTGCTAGACAATGGTTTATAGCTCAGAGTGTTATAATATTCAATACATACAGTAAAATTTTAAGTCAATTTTATTATCATTTGGTTTGCTAATGATAAAACACAACTTTTGAAGATAATAAGTTCAATTCTCAGATCTCACAGCTAACAAGTGACCCTCTGGAATTGAAACCAATGTGACTGGCTCCAAACACCTACACAATATCTGCCCCATAATAGATTTTCTGCCTACCTTTGAAATGTCTACTCTTCACAACTTGTTCAAGTGGCAAATGTCAGTTTTCTTGTATTGGAAACAATCCCTCTTGCTCTGAAATATCTTGAGCAAGGGCAGGTTCTCTGTCAACTCAGCTAGATGGAAAAAGTAGAGTTCCAGAGCCCTTGGTGGATTTTTCAGGCTTTAATGCTCTCAGGAAACTAGGCACACAGGCAAAGCAGCAGGCATGGGGCAGGCAGGCAGTAGGGTTGGGAGGCAGGCAGGCAACTGAGCCTCCCAGCCTCCCATGGATGTTTACACTTTCTTTGTGCTCTCTCTGCTGTTCTCTCATGTTCTCCCCACTTTTGTAGTCATGCCTCTCATCCTCCTCATAGCCGCCCTCCCTTAGCCATCCCATAGCTGTCTTTCTAGCCATGACCTCCAGGCTCAGGTATGACCACTTACCCATGGCCCCGCCCATATTCCAGATGTCCACTATCAGGAACACACACCCATGCTCACCCTCTCAAGTGCCTCCTGCATTAGCACAATCAAGGCCACAGGTGATGGCCACAGAGGCTGGTGGTGCAAAAGCCTGATGAATTTACTTACCCTATAGATACATAAAAATACTCACATTTTACCAAAACTGCAATTATTTCTTTGCATGCCTCACTTATTTTTTAATTCTCAAATATAAACCCCATGAAAAAAAGAAATGAGCATTAATATGTTTATCATTAAGTTACCCAGATTGCTGAGCAGAATGGTTAACATAAGGACAGTGTCCAATTCATGCTCATTTCATTTGACCTACTGTAGGAATGCTGGTGCCAGCTCAACTTTCCTTTACTAGGTAAGGGTGCCACCCCCAGCTGCTGCTTTAGTTGCTAAGGATTCACTTTGACTCCTTCTTCAGAGAACTGTGCTCAATTGACAGCAGCAGTTCTGCTTGGGAAGTTAGAGCCCAAATGGAAACAGTGAATGGTGGGGCAGATTAAAAGCTCACTTCCGTGCCTGTCACACGATTTCTGTGCCAAAGCACATGAGAGTCAACCAAAATTGGACTTAACCTGAGATACAGTCTTTGTGAGTATTTTGCTTTTCCTTTCCCATTTAGTGAACATCTAATGTTTTTAATGAAAAGAGGGAGGGAGGTTTCTCCTGGATATATAAACTGCATAAGATTCTCTGTCTCAGACTCCCTCCTAAATGCCTTCTGTAGGGAAAATGGAAGTTACCAGGTTTTTTCTGCCCACCTGCCATTAGCGTCTATGACTTGACACCTGGGGCCTTATATGCATGCCTGATGGTAGACGTCTGAGCATGGTGTGGGTGTGTGTAAGTGCGTGCACCTGAACAACAGACTGACCATAAAATGGTGGCATGCACAGAGGCCAGAGGATGGCAGCAGAGGATGGGAGGGAGCAAAAAACTGTAGGGCAGAGAGCAGTAGAGACCAGAGAAGAGACAGTGAGAATGCCAGAGAGCCCAGAGATAATGGGAATTTTATGGGGACTACACCTGGGAGGAGAAAGCATACATGGTACAAAAAAGAAGAATGATGTAGAACATTATCAAATGAAAAAAAAAAAAAAAAAGAGAATGGCTCTCAAGAAAGTCTGAAAAAAAAAAAAAAGTTTGGCCAGGGGAGTCCTGGCTAGGAGTCCTGTCAGCCCCCTGACCCCAAGACTGGTTGCCACAGTACAAACAGTATAAAAAGATCATCGAACGCCTGAAAAAGCCACTGAGGATTCCAGGACTCCTCCTTTACCCGTCTGGCTGACTCAATAGGGAACCTGCAAAGTGCTTTGCTGGCACTACACCCTCTAGCAGGTAGTTTGTTTTTTTTTTTTTTTTTTTTTTAATGACTTTAAGGAAAAAAAAAAAAAACTGACAATATCAACATTTAGTGAGACTATAGAGGAACCAGAACTCTCATGTGTTGCTGGTATGAATATAAAAATGGTACAGCCACTTTGAAAACCACTTTGCAGTTTTTGGTTTTTTTTTTTGCTTTTTTTTGAAGATGTATTTATTTATACAAGAATGAGGGGTACAGGCCAGATGCGTGGGAGGGTGAGAGGATTCACCAGAGACAGAGAAGGGAACAGAACAGGCAGACTGACGAAATACACTGTGAAGGGAAGCAGCCTGTGAGACAGGAGAGGTCTGCTGTGCCATGTGGGTCCCTCGCGGTGGGCGGGGATTGAACTGGTGCTGCAGAGGCTGCGGACAGCTTCACAGCGCTACACTCAATCGCCTGCGCCACCAGGGGAGGCCCCACTTGGAAGTTTTTTATACAACCAAGCACTTTTACAAACTACTTCTGAGCCATTCTTTAAAATAAAAATACTGTTTTATATATATATATATATATATATATATAAATGATTATATAACATGTTAGCATTAGAGATGATTTAAAAAATTAATTTTGCACTATTGCAAAGTAAGTTATGGAGACAACCTTAGTGCCCAAGACAAATGCATAGATTAAGAATATCAAAGGAAAAAAATTGAGAGCCCAGAAATAAACCCACACCTATGTGGATAGTTAATATACAACAGAAGTATACACTGGAGAAATGAAAGCTCCTTGTTAAACCATATTGCAAAAACTGGACTGCCACGTGCAAAAGAATGAAACTAGACACCATACATAAACACCATACACAAACACCATACACAAACATCAACTCAAAGTGAGTAAAAGACTTTGATGTAAGACTTGAAAACATAAAACAGGAAAAATACTCCATGGCATATGCTTCAGTGATGTGTTTTTGGATTCATCTCCAACAGCCAGAGAAACAAAAGGGAATATAAACAATTGGGACTACATCAGACTAAAAGGCTACTGCACAGTGAAAGAAACTCACTAAATTAAAAGACATCCTACTGAATGTAAAATATTTGCACATCATACATCTGAAAAGGGGCTGATATCCAAGAGCTACAAAGAACGTATACAATTCAACAACAAGAAAATAAATAACCGGTATCAAACAATGAGAAAAAAGGCTAAACAGGCACTTCTTTAAAAGGACACACAGGTCACCAACATGGGCCTGAAAATAATGCTTATCATCACTTATCAGGGAAATAAAAATCAAAAGCACAATGAGATATGACTCAACAACTGTGAAAATGACCCATATCAAAAAGACCAGAAACAACAAATGTTGGTGAGTATGTGGAAGAAAAGCAGCTCTAAAATGCTGCTGGTGGAAATATACTGATAGATTCCCAGCCCCTTTGGAAATCAGTGTGGAGGTTTCTCAAAAGATTAGAAATGGATCTACCATATTATCTAGCAAGTCCACTTCTATATATCCACCAAAAGAATACAAGACCACTAATTGGAAGGGAAACTTGCACTCCAATATTGCAGCTCTATTTACATTAGATAGTTATGGACAATTATGGAAAGAACCTAAATGCTCAATGACAGATGAGTCAATTAGGAAGATGGGTATATATCCACAATAGAATATTTAGCTTTAAGAAAGATAAATGTTTGCCATTTTTAACAACATGGATGGAACAGAAGGGGATAATGCTAAATGAAGTAAGTCAGGAGAAAAACAAATACCAGATGGTTTTATTCATATGTGGAATATAGCGAAACAAAACAAAGACTCAGACAAAACCAAAATAAAAGCAAGCCCTCGAAGTATGACTTTAAAATTGAGGCTAATCAGATACAGGGAAAGGACAGGGTCCAAAGGACTGTGGTGGAGGACTATGGATGCCTGAATGGTAGCTGTGCACTGGCAGTGTGCATCTGAGGAGGTCGGTCCTATATCTCTGAATCATATATATAGTAGTGTAAACCAACGTCAATGCAATAAAAAATAAAAAACCAAAAACTAGGCCTCCCTGGTGGCACAAGGGGTTAAGCACTATGAAGCAATCCACAGCCTCTGAAACATGAGTTCAATCCCCGGCTGGCCAGGGAGCAACCCACATGACAAGGCAGCCTATCCTGTCTCGCCCTCTGCTCCCCTCAGCAGTGTGTTACATCAGTCTGCCTGTTCTGTTCCCTGCTCTGTCTCCGGTGAATCCTCTCACCCCCTGTATCTCTGGCCTGTACCCCAGCTCTTGTGTGCATAAATAAATAAATCTTTAAAATGGCATAAAATAAAAAAGAAAAAATGAACTTCACAACATTTTTATAAATGTAAAATTAGTTAAAAGTAAAAAAAAAAAGTTCTTTTAAAAACAAAGAATTGCTAGGGCTATAAAAGTGAAAATAATGTGTGATCAAATCATAGCAGTCTCCTCATCAATACCCTCCAATGATTCCTCTTAAACTCTGTACTCATCAGCGTGTTCCAGATCCCAGAGAGTGTGCATCTGGCCTCCCTCATACCTACCATTCTACTGAGTTGCTCATTTGCTTCCAGGCATATGAATATCCTTGCTATTTTTGATACTATTTCCAATTCATAAATTTTTGTTCTCTACATAAATTTTGTTCTCTTTAGAAGTGCTTTTCTCAAATATTCTCATGACTTCCTATCTCTCTTTATTCAGTTCTGTTTTCAAATATTTTTTCAGAGATGAATTCTCTG